CTTTCCAATTTGTTGTCGGGTCGGTGAAAAGTTGTGGCGTGTTGTCGTTGGTGGTGCGGTGATAGCTTGCCAAAGAAGAGGGGGAGGGCGGCATGTTTGTCGATGGGAGTTGTGGCGGTGGGGGCGGCTTGCTTGTGAAGGAACAGCGTGTGATTTGCGCTTGCTCTTACTATTGTTGCATGTGCATGTGCATGTGCATGACAGCCGTTTGTGTCTGCCACTTTTGCTGCCATCCTTCCTCCGTTCTTACGACGCCCTCATGTCTTCTTCCACTTCTCTGTTGTTGTTTATGGTGGTGATCGACGAACGAATGAACGCAAAGGTTGCACGTGGACAAGGACAAATATGCGAGATAGAGCGGGTGGAGGGGTAAGGAAGTGTTGAGGTGAAGGGGAAGAAGGATGGTGCACAGACGTGGTGATCTGGTGATGTACCACAACATACACATACACACAACACATATACACATTCACACTCACACACCACAACACACACACACACACACACACACCACAACATGCACACACACAGACTTATGACGAAGGTGTGCTGGTGGTGTGGTCTCCGTTCTGCCCCTTGGTGGCTGCTGCCTGTGCCTCTGGTGCCTTGCCGCTGAGTTTATCAACGGCTTGCTTGAGCATCTGGTTGCAAAGTGCCGCATATGGGTTGAGCTTCACGGCCTCATGTCGCGCCCAGGCGTTGCCATACATGCCTGCTGTCTCAAAGTCCTTGCGGGCGCCCTCTGTGTCGCCGTTCAGGCGCTTGAGCACGCCGCGCTGGGCATACACCTGCTGCGCCACCTTGGTGCTCAGCTCGCACTTCTCAATGGCGTAGTCGAGGTCTTTCATGGCGGAATCCTTGTCGCCCTTCATCTGGTACACCTGCGCGCGGTCGTTGTACCCGGCTGCGCGCGAGGGGTTCTCCTTGATCAGCTCCGAGAACGCCGCCAGCGCCTCGTCGAGCTTCTGGTCCTCGGCGAGCTTGATGGCGGCCCGCTCCTTCTCGCGCATGCGCTTCTCTTCCTCCGTGTCTTCCTTCGCGTCCGCTGGGCCGTGCAGCTCGGGCTCCTGTGTTGCAGACCCAAAGGGCATGTTGGGGTTGAAGATGGCCTCAAGCACATCCTCCTCGCACGGCACATGCCCCTCTACTTGCTGCTGCTGGGGCTGCTGGTCTGCCTTGTCGGTCATCGTGGCCGTCTGTGGGAGCAAGGTGCTTGGGCTGGTGTGGCGTGGTGTTGCTTGAGTTGTGCTTTGTGTGCGGGAGAATAATGTGCAATCAAAGTTGATTGTGCAAGAAGCGAAGTGTGCAGAAGGAAGAAGAGGAAGGACAGCAGCTGCTGGTGGTGTGTTGTGTTGTGTTTGCGATGGTGTGCTTGCGGGTGGATGGCGTGCACCCTTACGCCATCGCCTTCTCCCCTTACACGGGGGACCGCCTCGCCGTCGCCTCCGCGCAACACTTTGGTCCGTGTGTGTGTGTGTGTGTGTGTGTGTGTGTGTGTGTGTGTGTGTGTGTGTGTGTGTGTGTGTGTGTGTGTGTGTGTGTGTGTGTGTGTGTGTGTGTGTGTGTGTGTGTGTGTGTGTGTGTGTGTGTGTGTGTGTGTGTGTGTGTGTGTGTGTGCTTGCTTGCTTGCTTGGTTCCTCTGTGTGTGCTTGCTTGCTTGCTTGGTTCCTCTGTGTGTGGCTGGGTAGCTTGAGTGGGTGGCAACGATAGCGTGCGTGGCTGCGTGCAATCCAAGTCAGTGGCGCGTCCTCACTCACCCTTGCATTGGACGTGTGGTGGGATCACGTTGACTGGCTGACTGGCGACAGGTATTGCTGGGAAAGGCAGCGTATCTGTGTTTGATCGATCGCAGGACTGGGCCACCATCGCCCAGTACGTTGTGTGTGTGTGTGTGTGTGTGTGTGTGTGTGTGTGTGCCTTTGTGTGTGTGTGTGTGTGTGTGTGTGTGTGCCTTTGTGTATGTGTGTGCTTGTTGTGTGTGTGTGTGTGTGTGTGTGTGTGTGTGCTTTGTATATGTGTGTGTGTGTGTATGAGCGGATGGCCAGCATGCTTGGCTTGACCTGCCTCTTCGCCACTAACATCACACACGCATATCCACGCACACACAACACACAACAGGGCAGAGTGGAAGGATGGGCTGTTCTCTGCGGCATGGGCGGAAACAAATGAGAATCAGTTGCTGACCTGCAGTGGCGATGGCACATGTCAGCTCTGGGACATTGCAGACATGTCCAAGCCACTGCACGTGTTTGCAGAACACACCAAAGAGGCAACCAGGTAGTCCTTGATGGGAATGTGTGAGCTGCTTGCAAATCCCTCGCTGATCAGCTGTACAGGGAGCGTGCGCCCAGATACAATAGGCACAGCGGTCACACACGCTTCCTTCCTGCGTTCCATCCGTCATGGCCTTGCTTGCGCAGGGTGAGCCACTGCCAGGCACGTGAGGGCGCGCTCTTTGCATCTTCGTCATGGGACCAGTCTGTCAAGGTCTGGGATGCCACAGGTGCGTCAGGGCACAGCTTGGCCACACTGTCCCACCAAGGCTTCGTGTACGATGTCAGATGGTCGCCTCACCGCCAGCATACCATCGCCTCCGCTTGCGAGGACGGCACTGTATCTGTCTGGGACACACGTGCTCCAAGGCCAGCACAGGTTGGAAGTGATGCCTGCATAGTTCTGTTGCTGTGCGTTTGCTTGCTTGCTTGTGTGTGTGTGTGTGTGTGTGTGTGTGTGTGCGTATGTATGTGTGTGTGTGCGTGCGTATGTCTGTGGATGCGGATGTGTATGTGTGTATGTATTTCTGTGTGCGTGTGTGTGTGCCTGTGTGTGTCTGCGTACCTGCGTACCTGCGAGATGCATTTGGCTACGCACAACTCGCTGCTTCTCATCCACGCTCGTGGTATTTGTCTCAACCTCCTCTTCTGCTCATCATCCTACTTGTGCTAGGTCGTGCAAGCGCATGCGCATGAAGCCTTGTGCTTGGACTGGAACAAGTACGACGCGAACATGCTCGTATCTGGCAGCGTGGACCGCACAGTGCGCTGCTTCGACCTGCGCATGGCACCGAGCGCCGTCCCGCTGTATGTGCTCGAGGCACACCAGCTTGCAGTCCGCACAGTTGCCTGCAGCCCCTTTGATGTCGATGTCATTGCAACAGGCAGTTACGACATGTGTGCGTTCCTCTGGAATGTACGTGCGCTTCGCACCGCCATGGGCCAGCACGGCGACACATCCACCCGCCAGCAACCGCCGTCATCATCCTCCTCCTCCTCCTCCTCCGCCGCCGCCACCATCACCACCCCCTCATCTCAAGTACAAGCGAAACCAACAACAGCGGAAGCGGCGACTGTGCTACCATCATCAGTGCCATTACAACAACGGGTGTTGGGACGCCAAGCAGACGCACTGCTGCCACGACCACGACTGCTGTCCAAACACACGGAGTTTGTCACGGGCGTTGACTTTAATGTCTTTGCACCCGAAGTCGCTCACTGCTCCTGGGACAGCACCATCTGTGTGCATCCGGTCTGAACCGATGGTGTCTGTGTGTGTGTGTGTGTGTCTATCTGTCTGTCTGTCTGTCTGTCTGTGTGTGTCTGTCTGTCTGTCTGTCTGTCTGTCTGTCTGTCTGTGTTTGTCTGTCTGTCTGTCTGTCTGTCTGTCTGTCTGTGTGTGTGTGCGTGCATGTACATGCTTTTGCACTTGTGTACTCGTCCGTGTGTGTACATTCACTTCACCCTCATCTGCTCGCTGGCACGACAACACTCGCTTGCCTGTTGATTTATCGTTGATTGCACACCACCACGACCACACAACACCTGCTGTGTTATTCCAAACCAAGTATCCAACTACTACTAGCTAGTGACGATTTGTTCCAACAATACTATGCAAATACATATGACGACCAAACAAGCAAGAGTGCAAGCACGTGTGCTCGAGTGGCGCGTATACACGCGAAGGGTCTCCGGCATTCCCAGGTCAACTATTGAGCTTAAGGAACGATCTTGCAATGCTCTGTAGCTCATGAAGCGCAGCAGCAGCGTGGAATCTGCCATCATCAACAACACCACAACAACAACACAATGCATGAGGGCAGCAATTCATTGGAGCGAGGACGGTTGATAGCACAAGCACACACACGCACACGCACACGCACACACACAAATATGTGCGAACGCCTGCGTAACCGGTTTTACATACACGCACACGTACACGCACACATACACGCACATATACACGACGCATACACACCGCGTGACGCCGTCCTGGTCCGTGTCTTCGACGCTGCGACACATGTGCACGAGCGGGCGAATGTGCCCGGAAAGCACGTGCGGGGCATCGGCCCCAAGACCTTTCAAGATGGACACGAGGACATGCATGGCGCCGCGGCGGACCTGCGGGACAGCAACACCGTGTGTGTGTGTGCATGTGTGTGTGTGTGTGTGTGTGCATGTGTGTGTGTGTGTGAGACAGTGAAATGCGAATGCCAGCAGTTGATTGCACACAAGGATGTTACACACAAACATGCATACACACATATGCACACCCACACACCTGCTCCGAGGGGTCGCGGAGGGCGAGCTGTGAGATGCAGTGCGCAACCTCACTCATGTGCGGCTGGAGGGCAAAGCGAAGAAGTTGACAGATCTCGGCCAAGTTTGAGAGGCAGCTCGCACGCAGCGTTTCATCACCGCGGCGACACATCTGCAGTGGCCAGTGCACGCGCGTGAGATTGAGGTGAGAAGTAGGAATGGAGCAGGATGTATATTAACGGAGGACAGAGCAGAGCAGGCACAATCAACGTGTTTGCACAACATCAAAGCCTTCCCCAAACAAACAGAAGCTCTGCTTTCCCCACCCAAACACACACAATGCACACAAACGAGGGAACAAACGCACGTCGAGCATTGCGGGGAGGACGAGGTGGACGTGTTTTGGAAGAGCGGAGCCGAGCGCTCGCACCACTTGCATCAGGGACTGTCCTATTTTCAGGCGAAGCTCAATGGCCAGTGAACCATCGCGAAACTCTGCCATGATTTTGGGAAGGACCGCAGCAGGGAATGCGGCACCAAGTGCCGCCAATGCATCGATGGCAGCGAGATACAGGTAGCTGTCTGGGTCACCAAGGCATGGTGACAACATCCCAAGGATCTGGTTCAGGTTCTCTTTCACTTGCTCCCGCTGTTGCCAGGCAAATACATGCACACATGGGGTGGTGGTGGTGGTGGTGATGAGTGCGTTGTTGTGCTGTCCGTGCAAACCTTGCACGTACGTAAGGAGCACCACGCACACTCAAACATGGCAACAATCACGATCATCAGCAGACACATGCTCGCACGTGCACACCCACACACTTTTGCATTGATGAGTTTGCGGAGTTGTACGAGCGCATGTGCACGGACGGGCATCAGAGGGTCTTTGATATCCGTGAAGATGCGTTGCAGCTCATCCACAGCAGTGGCGCCTGCACGCATCATGTTGTTGACACGAGATAGTGTGAGTGTGTGTGAGTGTGAGTGTGTGTGTGTGTGTGCGTGTAAGTGTGAGTGAATGTGTGCGCGTGTAAGTGTGAGTGAATGTGTGTGTGCGTGTGTGTGTGTGTCAGCGTGTATGTGCGGGCGTATGACGGCGCTTGGGTGCACCACTCATAGCTCACTGACAACACTTCACCACACTCTCAACTGCAGCACCACTTCTGTCCACACCTTCAGTGCTGTCGCATTGTTCGTGGCTCGGTCCTGCTTCTCTGTTCTCGCCCAGGCCAGACCAGCATGCTGCGCGCGTGCGAATTGAGACGTACAGTCGATCTGCCAGCCCCTCCACGCTCGCATCTTGAGTGTCATCATAGTCACTCCCGCCCGTGGTGGTGGCGGTAGCGGTGCCACGTGCTTGCGGTGGACGGGCGTTGCTGTCTGTGCGTGTGTCTGTGCGTGTGCCTGCTGTGTTAACTTCCGTGCTCTTCCGTAAGCGATCGAGTGCTGGTATACACTGATCAAGCAGCGGCCACAGCGACCGCTCAACGGTAATGAAGCCTGCACGTAAGCATGTTGTGTTTGAGAGAGGGCGGGATGTGTGTTCATGCGTGAGAGCGAGAGAGAGAGAGAGAGAGAGAGAGAGAGACAGAGACAGAGAGAGAGACAGAGACAGAGAGAGAGAGTATCTGGGTGCGAATAATCAAGAAGTTGTCATTTACACAACACCCACACGCACAGGTGTTAAGCAGCCTTTCGACCTCCGAATGTTGGTGCAAGTGCTCACCGCTGAGCAGGAGATCGAGCACGTTGAGCGCCGCGGATGTGACGCCCTCGTGGGGGAACAGCAGCAGCGCGTGAACCAGCGCCAGGCCCTGGTGGTTTCGAGGGGTGGGTTGCATGGATGGTTGCATCAAATCAAAAAGACGATGCCCCACCCGGGGAACACCACACAGCGCGCACACACACACACACACACACACACACACACACACACACACACACACATGCACATACATGCACGCGCGTGTGTACAAACGCACACTTCCACGCAAACTCATAACATCACACAAACACATGCATATGTTCACTCACTCACACACTAACACACTCACACATGCACACACACAAGAACACACACACACACAGAGCAGTTACACATGCAGAGACCGCACCTTTGCCGCGTCTGTCATGGCCTCTGGAGCAACGTGCTCGAGAAGCAGAGCCAGCAGGCGCTCCACCCGGATCAAAATGGACAGGGGAACATCGAACGAGGATGATGGTGACGGTGATGGTGTTGGTGGTGATGATGATGGCTGAAGCGCGCCGATTACCAGCCGTTCTCTCGTCACACCACTGGCAGTCGTCGCAATCGCTGCGTGCCCTCCCCCGCCAACGCCACCACTTGCACCATCACCACTCGCGTGTTGGCTGGGTCCCACGTCCTCCTGTGGCTGCACGCGCTCAAATACATGCGTGAGCGTTTCCAGGAACAGCTGCTGCCCTGTGCTTGCCATTGCGTCCACCACAAACGCAAGATACGCCGCATCCATCATGTCCATCTCTGCATCACCGACAGGAAGCTGCAACTCCCAGCGGAGGACAGATGCACACACACGCGAGCGCTGCTCTTCGTGTTGTTGTTGTTGTTGTTGTTGTTGTTGTTGTTGTTGTTGTTGTTGTTGTTGTTGTTGTTGTTGTTGTTGTTGTTGTTGTTGTTGTTGTTGTTGTTGTTGTTGTTGTTGTTGTTGTTCTTCTTCTTCTTCTTCTTCTTCTTCTTCTTCTTCTTCTTCTTCTTCTTCTTCTTCTTCTTCTTTTTCGTGTTGTTGCTGGTGATCAGCGCGGTCGTATTGCTGCTGGCGCTGGAGGTGAAGACCGCCGTCACCACTTGGAGCGAAGCAGAGATGGTAGCACGTTGGAGAGTGGAGCAGGCAGCGCGCAAGGGCGTGCCTGCAAGCAACGCGGCTGCTTGCTTTGATGCATGTCTGCAGCAGCTCCCGCAGCTGCGGTGAGAGGTGCGAGTGCGTGCGCGTCGCCGTGTGGGCCAGCGTCATAAGCGCAGGCAGCACGGCAACCAGCAGATCCAACACATCCCTGCTGTGCCCGTGCAGGACAAGAAGCCGATGTAGCACCCACACGCTCTCCTCCACGTCACGCGATGAGCACAGGATGGAATTGGTGCTGTGGAGACACGAAGCATCATCATCAGCGTTGACACTGTTGCCACCGTTGTCGTTGCTGGCCCGACTGTCATCCTTGCTATCGCTGTGTCGCTGCTCGTCTCGACGAGTGTATTGGGGTGATGCTGAAGACCGCGCGTGTTGTGCATCTTGCGGCTCGCGTGCTGTTTGTGTGTAGATGAGGAACGGCTTTAGAAATTGGCGAAGAAAGTGCGTGTATGTCAGCTGGGGATCGGCATTGAAGAGTCGAAACACAGCTAAACATGCTGCCCGCTGCGCAGCCAGCGACAACTCTGTGTACACCTCATCCTCCTCATTCTGACCACCGCTGCCGTTGCTGCCGTCGTGACGAGCAGCTGGTGCTGCTGATGTTGCTGATGATGATGCGCCACTGCCGCGCACACGCCGCCCCTGGCAGATGACAGCACGCACTGCAAAAAAGCAGCATGAGAGGGATACAAGTGTGCACGGGGGGGGAGTGAAGGTTAACATGCGCAGACGTGCGTGTGTGAGGTAGCGCAGACGGGTTGTTGATGTTGGATGTGCATGTGTTGCGTGACTGACTGATGAGAGGACATGTAAAAAAGCACGCACACGTGCACAGTGCTCACCAACGCAAACACCACCAGTACAAGCACAGCCCCAGTACAAGTCAGGCTCGCGAACGTTTCGTGTGACCAACCCATCAACCAACTCACGTTGTGGGAAAACGCGTGCATAGTAGCGGTGATGGGTGAAGAACGGCTGGCGCGGGGGCGTGCCAATCATGATGGCAGCAAACTGCGCCCGCTGCCACATCACCGTGGACGATGCCTTACTGTCCTGTGTGGTCTGGTCATCACTCCCATCTGTGAGCAGCATCCGCAGCAGCGTCACAACGCCGTGCCTTCGCATCAGGTTGGCCGCGATGAAGATGGAGGTGGCCGTGCGTACCCATCGCGCCTGGCTGGATGCGCCACTGCTCGCCTTAAACAGCGCCTCCAAGCTTGTGTCAGGCGGTAGTTCGTGCACAAGCAGCCGCTCGAGATCACACAGGGCCTGATCCTGCCTTCGATGGCTGGGCAACTTGTTGCTGGCGTGTGAGGTAGCAGCTGCACATGATGCAGGGTGTGATGCAGTGCACGAGCTGCTGTTGTCACGGCTGCTTTTCTCTCCAGCAACCTCGTTATCCGCATGGCCCTCAAAATCACCAGTCACAGGACTGCCATCATCATCACCATTGTGGCCATCGTCAACATTGTCATCGTCACTTTCATTGCCATCGCTGTCACTGTCGCTGTCGCTGTGTTCAAGCTGCGCTGTGTGTTGCAGCGCAACGGCAGACTGGACGGCGTCCCTTGGCGTGTTGTGATGTTTGAGGCGAATGGTGGCCACCTGAAACGAAACTGCTGCCGCTGTGCCCGCTGAAGACACCGCTGCACCAAACGCCCGATACGAGAGGGCAACTACAAGTGTTGGCAGCATCAGCGACAGCGCTGTCGGCGGCAGCCCCGGGATGGCGGCAAGCACCGTGTCGCAGATGATGGCGAGGCACTTTCGGTGGGTTGCCTGTTTATCTCGTGCGTCAGAGGGTTTTGCGCTGCCCTGTGCAGCGCGAAGGATTGGGGCAGGGGTGTTTCGCGGCGCTCGCGCTTTGACCGGCGGCAGTGCGTTGCTCGGCACATGCGGCGTCAGGCCCAACAAGTCGATGTAAAGCACGCAAGTTGTGATCACACGTTGCTCGCGCAGATTGATTCTGTCGTGTGGCTGGCCGTCGTGAGTGTTAGTGTGGGTGCTGGCATGGCCCCTATGTTCTCTTGCGGTCGAGTGTCCTTCCTCCTCTTGCTGTCGCTCTTGCTGCTGCTGCTGTTGTTGTTGGTGTTGTTGTTGTTGGTGGTGGTGGTGGTGTAAATATTGCTGTCGTTCTTGCTGCTGCGGCTGTTGCTGCTGACGTTCTTGCTGCTGCGACTGCTGCTGCTGTTGGTCATGGGCACCATTGGCCCATGCCTTGACCCCGCACGCAAGAAGCCTGGCTGCTTTCCATGCACGACGCTGCATCTGTGTCATGTCATCTTCCAGCCCACGAACGCGACGCACATGGCTGTCATCAAGCGCCCCGGCGTCTCGCAGCGCAGCCTCCGCTTTTCCTTGGGCAGCTGGCGAGAGCAGGCCTTTCTTGTCCTGCACAAACGCATCCAACACCCGCACCAGCCTCTGCTGCTGCCGCCGCTGCTGCGGCTGCTGTGCCAGCAACAGTGCCGGCCGTGGCACCCCACCGTTCTCCCCCATGTGTGGTGTGGTGTATGTGGTGTGTGTGCGTGCACGTTGTTGTGCTGAAAGTGCGCAGTCGTCCCATTTGTGTGTGTTCATGGTTTGAGACTGAATTCAGGGTCGGTTATGGAGGCGAAGGAGGACAGTGGAGATGTGCGCGAGGTCGCCTGCTTTCGTTGCCATGACGGCCATCAACGGACGTACGAGCACTGGAGCAGCACCCTCCACTGCCGCATGCGCTTCAGCTTCTTCAGCCCTCGAGCGGTGCGTTTGTGTGTATGTGAACGTGCATGTGTGTGTTTGTGTGTGTGTGTGTATGTGTGTGCATGTGTGCATGTGTTTGTGCATGTGTATGTGTGCGTGTGTGTGTTTGTGTGTGTGTGTGTGATTGTGTGTGTGTGCATGTGTGTGTGCGTGCATGGGTATGTTCATGTGTGTGTTTACACGTGTGTGTTTACACGTGTGTATATACGTGTGTGTGTGTTCGGTGCAAACAGAAGCGCAGTCATGATGTCGTGGCCGAGACCATACTGCTTTCCCGCTCTTCTTTCTCTAACGACATTGTACTCTCCTCATATCCCGTGCCATCACACGCTGCGGACGGTTAGATCAGCAAGCAACGCTTGCCAGTGATTTACTTCCTCTCTGGACTCTCCCGAACAGAGCAGACGTGTCCAGAGCAGGTTCACAGCCATGATGCCACGGGTGTTTGCCTTTGAGATGTATGTGTGTGCTGCACATGTTTTGCTTGCGCGTCAGGCTTGCTCACAAGGACATTGCATCTAATCCAAGCAGCAACTGCGTTGTTTGTTTGTCTGTGTAGGGAGGCACGCAACAGTACCTGTGCAAGCACAACCTTTGCATGGTGTGGCCAGGTACGAACGCACATACCCTGTGTGCCTGTGTCTGTGAGTGTGCTGCAGGGCAGGGTGGCTATGCTGTGCATTGGTGATCCTTGCCTTTCTAATCCTTGCTTGTCATTTCCATGCTTGGCTTACACCCAGACACAAGCCCAAGAGGACTGGAGTTGGACAAGACCGTAGAATCTGCTTGGTACGGTCCAGGTAAGCCGGGGATCACGCACACATGAATGGATGGTCTTACTTGGTTTACGTTTCGGTCTACATGCTGATGCTTATACAGACACACATGACTTGAGACGTACACACACACACACTGACGTTGACTCATACACACTCATGTTCACTCAACCACACGTTCACGTTCACTCATACACACACTCTCATGTTCACGCATATGCACACACTCTCATGTTCACGCATACACACACTCATGTTCGCTCACAAACTCTCTCATGTTCACTGATATGCATTCCTTAACGCCTTCGCTCGTGCAGGCGCCAGCTTCTATGTGGATGCGACGGAGAAACCGTGGGAGGACCACTACCGCATGTTCACGTACATCACACAGGAGCTTCCCGCGCTCATCGAAGAAGTGCGACTGTGCGCGTGCACACCTGCATGCCGCTGTGTGAAGACAAATCATGTGCTGAACACTGTACGTTTGTGATATGCGTTGACGTGATGTGGCGTCTTGTAACGTGCGGTGTCTTGCTTGCTTGCTTGTGTTATCGCGTTGCTTGTTGAGCCAGCGCTTCAACGTCACCAAGGAGAAGGGCGTCTGCGGGCACAGCATGGGTGGACACGGTGTGTTTGCCATCTTGGTCGTGTGCATGCTGCTCACTTTTCTGGCTGATGTGACGTGACTGATGTCCCTCCAGTCAACACTCATCACGCTCTCGTTGCCACCAACACTGCACGCAGGTGCTCTCATGTGCATGCTCAAGCAACCCAAACTCTTCAATTCTGTCTCCGTCTTTGCGCCCTTGTGCTCCACTATGTCAGTGTGCATGTGTGTTTCAGTGTGTGTGTGTGTTACAGTGTATGTGTGTGCGTGTGTTTACGTAATGTGTGTCAATGTGTGCGTGTGTGCGAGCCATGGTTGGCAAAGTTTCGAAGCTGCATTCTTGCATGTTGTTCCTCACCGTCTGATTCCTGATGATGTGCACCTCGCCCATCTCGCTTGGTATCCATGATCTCTGCAGCAAGTCCCCTGTCAGCCAGCGCGCAATGCTGCGATACTTTGGCGAAGACAAGTACGTTGATTGACATGAGTTGGATCAAGGGGCAATTGTACACAATGCGTGTGTGTGTATGTGTGTGTTTGCATTACTGTGTGCAGCATTGAGTGTCGGTGCACAATTGCTCAAGCTTGTGTGCATGTTCGCTGCTGTCGTGCACAGGGGCGCGTGGGCACCTTGGGACGTGTTGACGCTGGCACTGCAGCTCCCGAAGGACACCAGCCCCATTCCAATTCTCATCGACCAGGCGTGTGTGTGTGTGTGTGTGTGTTGTTGTTGTTGTTGTTGTTGTTGTTGTTGTTGTTGTTGTTGTTGTCGTTGTTGTTGCTGCTGCTGTTGTTGTTGTTGTTGTTGTTGTTGTTGTTGTTGTTGTTGTTGTCGTTGTTGTTGCTGCTGCTGCTGCTGTTGTTGTTGTTGTTGTTGTTGTTGTTGTTGTTGTTGTTGTTGTTGTTGTTGTTGTTGTTGTCGTTGTTGTTGTTGTTGTTGTTGTAGTTGTTG